CAAAAATGATATTCATCGAATGTGAAGACTGAAAATTTTAGGTATTGCACGTATGTATGTGCTCTCTTTTTACTTTCTATGCATTTATAATAAAATCATAATTGTATGTCTTCGGATTTTAGTTTGGGAGGACCAGAAATCAACTCACCAAACAGTATTGATAATCTTGCTTTTTGTACAATTGAACAAAACTTGGTGAAGTTCAGTATGAAAGCAAAATAAGTAATTTTCATACGAGAGTGAACATGAGAGTAAAACCTCTTTTTATAATATTCTGTATTAGTACAGTACTCTTTTTATCTCTAAGTTTATGGAAAACAAATTTTCTGAATACGAAACTAGATTTGAAATATCTGCACGATGCAAGTAGCAATATTTCTTTAGAAGTAAAGTTTGTCGTTGAACCAAAGTGCAATCCTAATTTTGTAATTTGGATAATCGCATCTTCCGCCAATAATACCTTGTACAGAGCAGCATTAAGGCGTGCTTATCCAGTTGAATTGTTAACAAGATTGAACGTCACAAGAATTTTCCTACTGGGAATACCGAGAGAGAATTATACCCAGAAGTATATTTTGGAAGAATCGCGCAAGTATAATGACGTGTTACAAGGAGACTTCTTGGAAAGTTATCGAAACCTTACCTCGAAGCATTTGATGGGTCTTCGATGGATATCGAACAATTGTACTGCCACTTTCTTAATAAAGAGCGACGATGATATAGTAGTAGATATGTTCGAGATATTGAATCTTTTACACGAAAATAAAATAAAAGAAGATGCCATATCTGGATACGTTTTAAGAAGTATGAGGCCAATACGAACATCGAATAGTAAATGGTTCGTCACTAAGGAAGATTTTGCAGATGTTACCTATCCTGATTTTCTTTCTGGATGGATTTATATAACTGGCTTGAAAGTTGCACGATTATTAGTTCGCGCTAGCGAAAAGTTTCGACATTTATTTTGGATCGATGATGTATTTGTCACTGGAATCTTAAGATTGATATCAGGCACCGAATATCTGGAATTGAACGATTTATATGCAACAGATTACAGGTAAAGAAATGTCTAAAGACCTAATAAAATTTGTATTCCTCACATTTCTTGCAAAAGAAAATTTTAATACTATTGGGAAAAAACTGGTATATTGATTCATCGAATAAANGCAAAAATTTATTGTCGATTTTTGTTTATTGAACTTTTAATCACACAATTAATTGTAGAATTTAGAACCAAAAATTACACTAAAACTCAAATTGTAGTATTTTTTTAGTATTATAATCCCGGCTATTGTAATAAATATAATTTAATAGTCTATAAGCTATATAGAATGTAACATAGTAAAATTTATATTTCTGGAATTTGAATTTACAATGGATTCATTAAAAAATTTGTTACAGATACTTAGAATGCTGCATGAGAGATAAGAAAAGAAAATTAAAATGCGAGTTCATTGCAGGACCCGACGGAGCAAAAAAAGAATTGCACATGAAATTTAGAGAATTTTCTGAGTATTGTCGGTGGAATTGTTTCAAAAGAACGACAGAACAATTAGTATCGAAAAAATGTGTGGTTGCTTATGAAGAAAGAATAAGCGTTGCAAATTCTAAAGCTCAGGTTCTTCATGTATAAGGTATACGAAACTGTATACAAATTGTAAATACAGTAACAGATTATTTATGTATGAAAGTATTTTTGTAATATTTTTTATAACAATTTTGAACATTATATCACAGTTTCAAAACATTTAACATAGAATATATTTGTTTAATATCCTTTCGACCCTTTATCGTTTCGATTTCGATGGTTTAGACTATATAGGGACAGCCAGTTTTATTAGACACATATACATGTATATATATATGACTATTAGACTGTAAGAGTTGTAAGACTGTCTTAAGAATGTGTCACGACCTACCTACTAAAATCTTGACATCTAAGGACATTCAAACATGTTTCTTGTCTTATGTAGTAACAAGTGACAATGACGGAGACATTCCTCACTACTTTACTATTCATAATTCATAGTATTGAACATAGAATTCGTGATTAGTAAACGACGCAAAAGACCGGCCAAAAATTGCGATGGGTTCAGGTAATTATTCAGTATTTTCCCTTCCACATTTACATACTCTCACACAACTCTAGCTTTCATGAACGCAAGAATTAAAATAATAAAATTGTGGATACTTCAGTCCAGGCCCCAGTCTTGCCAGATCAGGCCTTCATTTCATGCTATTCTCGTTGTCAAATCTGGCAACTGAGCAAGTCTGTTCTGCTTGTGCTCTCTGCTCTGCAAGGTTGCCGGGGAAAAGTCCTGCCTACTCCTTCCACCAGCAAATTGGCTCGGTTCCCCTCTGGCGAACCTTTGTAGGAGAAAAGCACGCGACGTCACGCTCTCCCCACTATCGCTGCTAGGTTGATGCTTTTCCCGGCAACCCTGGTGCTGGTGCTCTGTTGCTGTTGCTCTGCTCCAGTCTTCAGTTATTCTGTCAGAGTGTCAAGATCGAATTGCCATTTCAGTTAAGAATTTTATGGCAATCTTGTCCTTCAGTTGTGAAAGTCACATTCGTGTTGTGCCCCGGGTGTTATTTTTGTTATCGAATTGTAACGACTTATAGTATGGACTCAGGTAAGATGTACATATATATATATA